CTTTTGGTGTATAAAGTCCTTATGTTTGGATTTGAGCATTAATTCACAGATTGTCTCTTATTATTTTGTTCCCAGCTCGGGAAATCCTATGGGGTATTCTCCCTCAGGAAATCACATGGGGCGATGTCTTAGCTTGATTTATTTTTATTTGTGTATCTAACTTTGCACAGAATTGTCTTTCACAGCAGCATTTTTTTATGGAGATTTGTATTTCTTGGAAAATTCGGCAAACTGGGGAGTATTTAACAATTTGTCACTGAAACTTTAAATTAAATTTGTTGCAACTTTGTATGGATGTGCTTGATACTGGGCTGATGAGTGTTATGTAGTCAACTAAGTAGTTGTTTTAAAGAGTTGTGATCAAAAATAATATTATGTTTTTTCAGTCCTAAAAGAACTGCCTGAGAGGAAATGTATTCTAGCAAATGGCAGACTAAATGTATAAACCAGAAGCAGGGTTAGCCTGAGATTAGTCTTAGTACTTTAATACTTTTTATTTCTGTTTTACTTTCTGTCCTTGCTTCTAAATGCACGTTTCATGTGGTATATGTCAATTTTTCTAGAGAATTGGTTTTAGCTCTTCTGTCTTTTCTAGCCTTGAGATGATAGAAAAGGTTTAAAAAATATTATCTATCAAAATGGATATTTAAAATGTGGTGGGGTCTTTGTAAAGAGAAATCTTCAAAGGTTCATGTTATGACTTCAAAGTTATGACTGGGTAGGTTCTGAGGTAGGCTCAGATCTTTTTGTAATAAGAAATTACCATTGATGTATATTTACAGTTTTCTAATGGCTCAAATACATACTGTCTTGGATCTGAGTTTCTTAAGTAAATGCTAATTTATTGCATTGTTGTTTATCCAGCATCCTAAATATACAAATGAATTTACAGAGTAAATGCATGCACTTGTCTCCCCTATCTGCACAAAAGTTAATTTTAAGATTAGACATAACAAGGAGGTCAGCAACAGAGCAGGGGAAACAGGGTACACATGTGAATTGGAAGAGGACAGAGAAATTACAAAGCACTCTGTTGGGGCTCTCTGCTTATAAATTCTATACAATTCTATGCACTCATTTGGAAGAGCAGAACAGTAAAACCCTACTTCTACAAACTGGTGGCATAAGCACAGGAAGAAGGTGATCACCTCTTCTCCTGGACAGAGGAGCCTGCAATACTTACCTGTTTGACAGATGTGTCTGTTCAGTTGGTTGGGATGGGAAGTTGGCATTTTGACCTTGCTTTATGGTTACGTGCTAATGGTGGGCTCTGAAGTGGTGCTTGGAGTAAGCTGTTGTCTGTCTAAAGCTTTGAGTAATTCTTTGAAATGATGGGGTGAGGATTGCATCACTCAAAGTTTACTGAAATAATGTGATTAAATCAAAGCAAAGGTTCTAATAACATTAGAGAATACCAAGACAGAGTGCTTTGTTTGGGTCCCTGCTATGAAGAATTGTAAAAGTTTTCTGTTATAAGCAGACCCTTTTGTATGACCTTTAAAATGAAAACCCTTTTACATTCCATGACTGAGTTGAAATAATTTTTAGCTGCTATGATAAAGGTGTACTTTGTTTACATCATGGTACAAATATTGCTGAAGTGCCTGAAACTTTGTGTAGACTTGACGTCATTAAGATACTGATTTTTTTTTTCATGACTTTTATCATTTTGTCAATATTTCTGACCGAATTTATTAAAACTGTTTCACAAATCCTTCTTTTTTCCCAATAATTCCTTCACTGTAATGGGATTGTATATTTTCCACTGTTCAGCATAATGTAAGTACTGGGTACTGAAGTGTATATTATTACTTTAAAAACTCTGATTGGGTTAATTGCAATTATAAATTATTACGCAAGTCTCCTATTCTCCAGTAGGAGCTTCAGTGAAATGCTGGTACTGGATAATTAGCTGGTGCTAATCTATGTCTTCAGTTTTCTTTAGTCCAAAGAAAGATTTGATGTTTCCTTTCCTGAAATAAACAAAACCAGCTTCCGAACTGTCAGAAAATAACAGTAGTTCTTAAGGGCTAATCATTACCAGCCTTTGTCATGGGGTTGTAATTGTTTCATGAATTCTGCTTCAATCAGGGAAAAATACACTTAAGTGCCAATAAAAGTTTTTATGCTGCTATGATTTCCTCCTGCCTCATCTTCCTCCTCCCAATTTATGGCTTTATTCCACCGTCTCTGTTACTAAGCAACACTGTACATGGTTTTAATGCAAATGACTTCAAACTCTCTGCTAGTGAGGCAGAATAACATCAGGTTAATTTCCTGATGAATATATGCTACAAAGAAGTGCTGTGCACTAAAGAAACCCCAACCATAAGATGATGGCTAGGAAGCTGCCTGATAGCATAAAGAAATAAAGTGTTTATTTTTTTGGTATTTTCTGGATTGTCTTGTCTGCATTTAAAACAACCTTTCCAAACAGATGGATCAAATGCTTGGTTCCATCATTTTGACTTGATCTCTTCTGTGTTGGGCTGCCCAGCTGGTTGCACAGGGTATATGCCATGATGATGCAAGTAGTTTTCTTGCTATATTTTCATCTATGTGCAGGAGGAGACAAAACAATTGCTCAGATGCTATTTTTGCTCCATTTCCAAAATCAGTGGTAGCATGGAAGACTTCTTAGAACTGAGTATTGCATTTTCAGTCAAACCAATAGTAAAATTCCAGCTGATGTCAGTGTGAACAGGATTCAACAAGAGTTCATGCTTTGATAAATTTCTTTCGCATGCCACAGTACTACTCCCTGTATTCTTGAAGCTGCTCAGTATTGTGCATTGCAGATGATTGCATGTTTTTGTCTTTTTCCATAGCCTTTTAAATGAGACTTTACATTTTTAAGATTAGCAACTATAACCTTGTTTATACAGCAATACCATTTTATATGGAAAAGAAACAGATTTCAGTACCGCGCTACAGAAATCTTAGGAGCGGTGTTTGGACTGCAATGTTTGCTCACAGCTGTGACAGGTTTATGGCCAATTTTTGCAGAACTGCTTTGACTTTACTTCTCTACAGCAATGGCAAGGCTTGCTATTGCAAGGTGGAATTTGAAAGTCTAAATGTAGAATATTAAAGGGTGTAAAGTATACTTAAATGCATGTTTGCAACTTTGATTCCTGTAGTGTCTGAAGATTTATACCTTTCAAACAGCCTGAGGTAATATTGAGCCTTCAGACAACTTCTGCCTTTCAGATAGGCTCTTAGTTTGAAATCTACCCATTTGCAATGTAATGAAAGTCATAGTGTTTAATGCAGCTCTATGAATCGCATATGCATTGACCTGTCTTCAAGCATTTCTTGTTCTGTGTATTTTTTAATTTTTCTCCCTGTTTAAAAAAGTTATTTTATCTCCTGTTAGTTAAAGAGGTCCTCCAAAGGAGAAAGACATTGCTGCCAGCAAAATCTTGTAAAATGTACAGTCAGCAGAATGAATAGTAGACCAGAAATCTAGTTTAAATTTAAAAATAATGTTTAAATTGTGATTCAAAACTTGTGTGTAAGAATGTTTGTTTTCAAATATGGTAGTGTAGCCCTAACAGAATTGCACTGTGCTTTTGGGAAATCAAACATTTCTCAAATTTAAAGCATATAGAGAAAGTCTTAGACTCCTTTGTTTTCTCTGAAAACACAGATTTAAAAACAATGTGGGATTAACGCAGTTATGGAACAAGTCCTTAATACTGCCCATGTGTTTTTCTCCACTGTTACAGTGTACTTAACAGCTATGCATGAAATACTCTCTGTGGGTTAGGAGAAGAACATATAGTAGAAAAAAATAAAAGTTAAATGTAGACACGGTTAATTAAATACAAGGCTTTGCCAAGTAAAAACATGCCTTAGTGTATTTTAATGCCTATTTGCAGCATGCTTGTGTGCAGCAGTGGCATGTATATGATATGTGCTGGATGGCAGTCAGTATTATATGTTATCAGTAGATGCAATACTGCAGGCATTGCAGGTATTTTACTGTAGGTGGAGTTTAGGGATGTCCCTATCTACAGTATCTTTTTTCAGGATGTCATTGCCTCCATGGCTCTACTGGGCCAGAGGAGTAGATTTTATTTGCAATAAGTGAAACAGGATTCCATCAGTGTGCACACCGAGATTCTCTGCAAGTTTGAATGTTGGGGGTGATGATCTGCTCGTAGCTGGAAGTTACAGAGCTTTGCAGTGTTTATCAGCTTCTCCTGTGACACAGGCACATCATCAATCAAATGATATCGCAAAAGAGATAAGGGCCAGTTCTATCAAAGAATAACCTTGTCAAAATATTTGAATTAACCTAGTAGAAAACTTAGCCTTTAAACTGCTCCAAGATAAACAGTGAAGTATAAGGAAAATTTTTTTCTTGTATGTAAAGTTTGCAGTTTTCTTTTGGGCTGGAGGTAAGAGGTCAAAATTGGAATATGCCTTTAGATGTTTTGTGGGTTTGTTTTGTTTGTTTTTTGTTTTTTTTTTTTAGTATCTTGACAGTATCGTGATTCAGTTCTACATGTAAATCCAACATGTACCTATGTGTCACAGAATGTTGATGTCATTTTGGCACTGATCTGTCATGCTCTTGAAACTTATTTGATATGCACATTAGTGGTGAGACCCACAAGAAAACCTTAATGAGATGCTTAAAGGGACCATAGGTAAAAGACTCGTAGGAGCATATCCCATGGTAGAATATAATCTAAACTTGAGCAATAAGTACAACATATTTTTCACATTTTCTTTAATTAACAGGAAGTTGAGTCACAAACCTCATTCAAAACAAAATCATGTGCAATTCAGAATTTGTGGGGTATGAGCTGTACATTGAATGTACACTTTCATTTACAATCCAGTGTTCTCGTCAGACTCTGTACTTTGTTCTGCTACCAGTGTTGGGAGGTAAAGCTAAAAACACACTTACTTGTAGGTTTGATGAGAAACAAAACTTGAAAGAAGAAATCTAACCATATGATGTGAAGATTAAATGAAACCAACGCTTAAAGTAATTTTGGATTGTTTAATATTTTCAGTATTTTGAAATACAGTCAGTCTGATGTAGATGTTACTGTGACAAATGCTTACTTTTTTTTTTTCAGAGTTATGTTAGACAGAAACCTGTCTAAAATGTGATAAACTTTTCTGAAACAGAGCATTGCATATCTCCTGTCTACTCTCATGTAAAAATTACAGATGAAAGTATAGAAAGCTATCATAGATGAACAGAGGAATTCAAGAATACCAGAAATATAATTTTGCTGGATTTAACACGTATACACTGCACTGTATACTATAATCTAATAGATAATGTAAAGTATGCCATTCTGCATGTTTCTGTACATTTCTATCTAGAGTAAGTGTATCACAAAACCCAGGTTCAACATTAACAATTCTCTAGTAGGTGATGTTACATCTTGTATACATATATTTGCAACCCGTCTTTAAAAGGTACCCTGCAAATTGTGTACATTCCCTGACTTTATAGGTGCTGTTATACAGAAAGAGGGCTTTGGGTCTGCAAATTTTTATCATGGTTGGAGGGTTTTCTACAGTGCAAAACTGAATCCTTATAAAAGATTTAAAAAACTACTTAAGTTTGTTTTCACAAATTTTTATTCATTTATTTTAGGTCCTTTCATATTTCATAGCTGTGCAGCAAAACTAAATACATAGCACTACTATGATATATACTATATTTTTGTGAAATTATTTTTGTTTGGTTTCTGGTTTGTTTTTTTTTTTGGTGTATTTGTATACTGTGTGATAAACTGAACATGAGGAGTAGTTCTGGCTAGGTAGGCAAACCTCATGTAAGTCTATATGCAGTACATTGTCTTCCCTTCCTGGGCATATAATTAGCTGATGCATAAATTAACTTTTTTTTTTTTCTAAAAGATAAGTCAATAGTGGCAAATCGGCTGCTATTATCTTGTGCATATCTATCGACTAAAACATTCTGGTTATTCATTCAATTTCATAAAAATGGCCAGGTTTACATTTGCTTGAGAATATTAGTTGTAGATGCTTGAAAAGTCTGTGTGTGTACAGGGTTGTTCCTCACTCATAACATAAAACCTTTCAGTATTTTCTAGTCTTTTTGCTTTCTTATTTTCAGTAAGAGATAAGCTTTTTGGCTCACTTAGGTTTAAAAAAAATTAGATTTTTTTTTTTCTTATTTAATGGCGGGGTGAAGTATCTTCTCAGTTTTGTATTTGTTCAGCAACAGTCTTTTCTTTCCAGCCTATTCTAACAATTTTTCACCCTCTGATTAGGCTGTAAAGCTCCAAGGGATCATATGTCTCTCCGTGTACTCCTGCACCAGGGTCTGTGCTCGATTGTAGCCAATATATAAAGCTGAAGAATAATAAAATACATAGAAAATAAGTTACTCCATAGATAAGCTATAAAATTTCACAGGCCCAGCCTTTAACTGTTTTTCACTTTTTTCCAGGGTGTGACACTATAAAAGAGAGTATGATGTGGGGTTTACTAAGGATATGCAGGATTAAATTCAGTTTTATTTTCATACAAATTTGAAATGGAAATGTGTGATCCATTCTACCGTTTTTTTGGCAAAAAAACCCAAAACCAACCAACCAAACAAAAAAACCCCCAAAACCCCAAACCTGCCAATCCCCTTTTATTATGCTGGAATCTGATCTTGTTTTCTTTTTTCCACTGAAGCCTCTCTACAATGTGGCACTGCTTAGAAACACCAAAGCTTATTCTAAATAAGTGGATATATTTACATTGAATACTCAGCTTACATTGAATTATTACATTGAATACAGGCAGCCTGAGCCTGGCTTTTCAGAGCCATTTTTCATAATGTAATGTGATCCTGTATTTCTCACAATATTCTGGGTAAATCTGCTCCAATAATTTTGCTTCTAAAAAGTTAAGCCTAAATTCTGCTTTAAACTCTAACCTGTATAGAGGAAAACTAGTGATTTGTTAAGTATCCACTCCAAGGAAACTTTATTAGCCTAGCTTAACTCTGTGAAACATACGTGACTTACTGAACTGCTGTTAAATATGTGATTTTTGGAGCTAGCCTGGGAGCCTTTCTACTATGATTTGCAGACCCAGCCTGTTCATCTCAAGAGTATAGGGGGAGCTGGGTTAGACTTCGTATTAAAAGGAATGAGGAATGGTGGTATAAAATATTACAGCATTAAATAGAATTACTTTGGTATGGATGATATTGTCTAAGGTATATAGCTATAATATACTGGTAATAGTGTATTACTTACAATAATATAGAAGCAGATCTCTTTGCTTTGAGTGGATTAATACAGCAGTGGAGATGGCTTTCACAAAGACATCTACTGATTATGTGTATATTTTTAGTAATAACTCAGACAATAAAAGTTTTTTATATAATAGTAATCTTCTACAATATAAAATTATTTCTGAAACAGAAAACATTAACATTCACCACTTCACAACATATGACTGCACAAAAATATTGAAAAGAAAATAGTATCTAGTTCTAGTTACTTAATTTACCAAGTACTTTTAAAGCTGCAGGCCATGGCACTAGTCCACTGAAAAGATCGCAGAATGCTGTTCTCAAATGTGATCTGTACCTATTTCTTGAGTTCTAGCCACATCTGCAGAGCTCAACAGTGACAATGAGTTTGACAGCTCTGCCATTAACATTGAGGATTTGTTAGTTCAGCCTTGGTAGTGAGGTCGCTGTTGAAATGAACTCGATGACTGATAGGGCAACCTCATCACTTTGCACAAGCTGGTGGGATGCTGGTCTGGCCAAGCTTGTAATGTGATGTAGAAGAGCAGAGCTGGAGACCCTGACCTTTTGAGTGGGGTAAGAATAGTTTGGTATATTCCAAACTCAGCAGGACGTTATTAAGAAACTTAAAAGAGCCTCTGAAACACTTTCTGGAAGTTTTTACTACTTAGCTGAAAGACTTATTCTTAGGTTCTATTTTTTTTCTTTTTTATCTGTTGCAAAAATAAAATTAAGTATTTACATTCAACACTTTAAATATTTCCAAAATCAGCAATTCCCTATTCCCTACTTTATGCCTTCTTCCGCCTCCTCCCAAGTATTTCTCCTTTCCATTGCAGAGTTGTCCCTGGGAATACTTACACTTCAGTATACTTAAAAAGGAGGTCAGTGAGATAAATCATTGCTGAAGCTGAGCAAGCAAAACTAAACGAATCTTGGGAATCCTACTGTATTCTCTGCTGCTGTCAGAGTTTCAAGTAGATGATGAAAACATCACCTAAATAATAGTTCTGGTAAAGAACTTTTGGCCTTGTACTTACTCTGCAACATCTTGATTAACAATATAAACATGAGGAAATTGTTAAGCTGGAAACCAAATTAATCCCTACTGTATCTGTAATTATTTTGTTGGAATTTAGGCTAACCAGTGCAGATTACATAGTGTGAATTAGGATAGGCATATAATGGGCAAGCAAGTAGAGAGCAAAGCATGAAACAGGAGTCGTATGAAGTACTATTGCACAATAAATAGACATAAATATTATGCATGTATATGTCAAACATAATGTGATTTAGTAATTATTCTGCCAGCAGAAGGAAAGTATTCACTCAAACAAGTCAACAGAATATAAATGTGATAGATTAAGAGTAGTGATCCCTGTATTTAGGGCTGTTTATATGCTGTCCCCATTAATACTGGCTTGAGTTCTTCACACCAGAAGAGTACAGGGACAGACTAAGAGTTTGTCAAGTATTTTACTTTGGTCATCCTGAGAATGAAAAGCTTGGATACTTCTTTTAAAAATAACAGATAGTGGGAGTTTGTTCTTAAACATACATAGCTAGTTCTCATTTTGCTATTAAATTAAGGTGGTTTAACGCAAAGTTCCCCAAAGATGGTGAAGTTACATAGAGCCAAATCCTAGTCCCTCTTCTGTTGACGAGGAGTAAGTTGTTGCACCAAAGGATACTCTGGCCATCTCCTACCTGCACCTCAGTAGGGACCAGGGACCATGCAGCCAAAGGTCCACAAGAGTGGCCAGACTCTGTCACGCTGCTGCTCTGCACACACAAGCAGGTGGGCAGGGGAGCATAAGGCTCAGCACCAACGCGTTTCTCAGCACCTGCATTCATTGCTGCTAGATGTGATGGAAGTGGCTTGTTGTGCTGAGGGGAACAGGGACGCTTCAGTTACCCGTCAGTTTGTGGGGATGCCTGAAACTGCAGGATGTGGCTGTGCACAGTAACTCTGTGCTCTGAAAGAGTTTGCTTTCTGCTGCTGCCCAGTTGCTGGAGAGATTTGTCTCTGAATACTTTTCAGTATTGTTTGATTTGCCTGTTCTTTTTTGTTGTTGGTTTTTCGTGTTTGGTTTTTTTGGGTGTGGTGGTTTGTTTTTTTTTTTAAGGAAACACTAAACTTCACTAAATTTGGCAGCTGGTGGTCATTTTCCTACCCCTTATGAGAACAAAAATTTCCCAGCACAATTTAACAGCAGCTTTGCCCTCCACTTTCTTTGCCTATCAATTCAAGGTCAGACTTGCCTTCAAAGCACACCAGCTGCAATCCCTTCCTGCCTTTCCTGCAGCAGCTGGATGTGTGTGCTCCTGCTTTTTCCCATGACGCAGGTAGGCACAGGTGGCACCAGCAGCCTAGGATACACGGTCTCTTAGAAACACAGGATCTGGTATGAAATTATCAAAATCACTAACCAATGGCTTCTCTTCTGTTTTCCACTGTAATGCAGGCATTCTTAGAGTTCACAGTCACTACTGATTCTGCTCCTTTTTCTTCTTGGTGATGAGTCCTTTCAGCTAAATACTTAGTTATCATTTTCACAAATATGCTTTGATTTTATATATATATATATATTTTTTTATTTTTTTTTTCCTTCTCTTTGGGATGGCTCTTGTAGTATTGCAATCAATATTTTGCAAATGAGCTACCTATTGTGGCCATTGCGGACATTGGATTTTAGTGACCAAGGGGATCAGCAGGTGATGAGAAAATGCTTGCTTAGCCTCTGGTAAGAAATCAAGTGCCTCCCAGATGGAAAAGTCTGTATTTCATTTCTAGGGTAGTTTTGCCACAGGTAAGGATCTCCAGATCCCTCAGGAGGCAGGGAAATATCGCTGTTTCTTCCCATAACAACTTTTGAGATGAAAAGCAAATTTGTGGCTGTATCCAGCAGGTGGCAAGCACAGCACACTGAATTATGTCTGAGACAGATCTGCTTCTGCCAGGGGAAGCTCCCAATGCTGCTCAGCATGTGCACAGGAACAAAATATACAGATAAATGGCAGGCTCTGTCAGTCCCTCATCAGCTTACTGAGTGCTGAGGCAGTGGTACTGTAGTGGATGCTATTTATAATGCATGGGACTATTGTCATATTCAGTTTTAACCAATGGCTGTCTCGTGTAAGGATAGATAGAAGCTAAATATGAAGCATTATGTATAATAGGAATAATTTAACTTTGTCTTTAAATGACAGTCACGTTTCATATTTTGAGATACTAGCTTGCAACGAAATTAACATGAAATTAACTTAAACTTTCAATGAAAGAGCCTTTCTTTTTTAACATGCAGCTTTAGAAGTTTTAGTGAATCCTCACAGTGCCTTGCGACATATATAAGTAGAGATTGTTCCCATTTTGCAGCTGGAAGAACAAAGGCAAAACTGAAGAAACTTGCCTTAAAATAAGTTAAAAAGAGCAGGAAGAGGCACCAGATTCCCAGATTGGGTTGTAGTCCCATTTTTTTCTTAAAAGTGTTAACTACAGAAATAGCTTTTTTGTTGTGTTTGATTTAAAATAATTTCCTAAAGTAAAAAAGAATTTAAAATATTTGTGTATATGCAAGAGACTGACAATCAGACTTGCCACCTGAGACAAAGCCACATTAGATATATAATTTTGAAGATTATAAATATTGCAAATTCTTCAGGGTCATGTAATTGTCTACATGCTGTACGTAAAGTTTGGGAATTTTTCTTAACCTTTACTAAGTCAGAAAGTATTTATGAACTCATTTATCTTTGAAGAAAATAAATGAGTGTGAATCAAGAATAAATATTTTCTGTAGTTCATTATTTGAGGTAAAAAAGACATATGAAGGTATCATTAGTTGAAATTTCCTACACTACTTATCAGCATTCCCCTGTCATTTGTATGGAAAGTTTAAGCCAGGCTTTTGTTCTGATTTATGCTAGTATAAATTTAAATTTGTTCCATACACATAAAACAAAGTTCTACAGGGAGAAAATACTCCAGGCTTAGTTTTGTATAAATGGAGAGTAATTCTGTAAAAGCCAGGAGTAAAGTTTGGTCTTGGATGTCTTGTGATGTGACTAAAAGCACTACCAGTTAAACTGCAATACAAGCATGTTTGCTTATCAGAATGTGAGTTTACTTAATATCCAGGAATTTGAAAAATTGAGTGGATTTGATTAGTTGATAATTTCTCTGAGTGCACTTGTTATTATACAAAAATAACTTGAAGTTTTCTAATCACCTCTGTCCCAAAACTCATGTTTTCAAATACAGAATTTTACTTCTAGTCACAGAAAGTATGGAGTCAAAGTCAGGATGGCATATTATGAGGAAATTTTTGTGTGTGTGTATGTATATACTTTTTTTTTTTTAAAACTACTAGAAAAATACCCACTGGGATATAAATGTATATTTATGAAGCAATGTTTGAAATCTATGAGTAGGAATATAAATCTAAAAATATATTTCTTCTATATTTAATAAATAAATTGGCGTTTTATTGCATATATTATTATGAGAAATTTGTGATTATTAAAAATGAAAAATAGTAGCATAAATCAGAATGAGACCAATTTAAAGGACCTGAAATTTCCATTTAAGTTTAAAATTGGGTCTCTCTATGTAGCATATATTTGAAAATGTATTATAAATATGAGGATGTGACTTTCATGTCATTAAAAAAACACAACAAAACAAGCAGAGTATCTCTATCAGCTCCTTGAACAAAATTTGGAATAGCTTGTGTACGTGCAAAGTAGATCCTTCGTAAATCATGCAATTTATACAAGCTTTTCCTTTAAAAAGATCTCTGAACTTAGGAGTCTTCTGTACCCTTCTTTTGTAGTTCTGAGTAAGTGGCAGGATGCTGACACGCCTGTCCACCAGTTATGTTGCTTTCAGTAAAGAAAAATGAAATGAAAACCAAGCACTCCTCTTCACAATGTGAAATAAAAGGCCACTGCTAAATCTTTACAGTATGATTTCTCTGAGGTGAGCTCATGTTTCTGTAATGAGCAGTAAGCTGTGATGTTCAGGACTGCAGATGAATTTTGTCATTCTTGCTGCTTCATTCACAAGGCTGTTCAAAAAAAGCATATTGCAAACCACATTGCTTGGTGTCAAAAGACCCAGCAGTCTTTTTAGTGGGCAAGCGTGTACTTTTCTGGTGGCCGATATGAGAGGGAGCTCATTTTCGTTGTTAGGCTTGGATGTGCGCTGACATTTGGTGGAATGTATTTTATTAGCTGAAGGAAGTATTTTTTAAAGTTTTTTCCAAAAAAAACATAAAAAAAAGGATTCAAACAGTTGTTAAAGTAAGCAATGCAAATGGTGAATGGCATAGCCGTATCCACAATATCGGTGATTTTGCAGTCTGTTATTACATGTAATTGAATTAATACATCCAGGAAAGTGAATACTTGATGAGGAATCCACGAAAAGAAGAAGAAAAATACTATCGCCACAATCATCTTAAAAATATCATCATTTCTAGTCTTATTTTTTTGAATTTGATATGCCTTCTTCAGAGTCTTCCAAATTAAAGTGTAGCTTGTTAATATGATGAGAAAAGGGATTAAAAAGCCCAGCAAATTTTTGGATAAACCCAATCCGACCCGGAGAGTTGTGTTATTGTTGTCATACCGAAAACCGCAGACTGTCATGTTCAAGTTCTCAGCAAAGAATATATTACGGTGAATGATGACGGGCAAACTGGCCACTCCGGCAAGAAGCCAGATAGCAATGCAAGTTATTCTGGCAACAAACATGGTACGTCGAATTCGGGACTTCACTGGATGCACTATGGCCAGGTACCGGTCAATACTAAGGCATGTGAGGAGGAACACGCTGGCGTACAGGTTGAAACTTATCCCTGCTGAGGCTAACTTACATAAACAGTTGCCAAAAGGCCACTGGTACTCCATGGCCGTGTAGGCTGCCCAGAGCGGCAGAGTTATTAAAAAACACAAGTCGGCCAGTGCCAGGTTTAGCAGAAAGATGCTGGCTACTGTTTTTAATTTCATGTAGCAGTAAATGACAATAACGACCAGGCTGTTCCCAAATATGCCTATGATAAAGATGATGCTGTAAACAGTTGGAACCATAATGTAGATGTAACTGTGTCTTCCTGAAACGGGACAGTCGACGTGGATTCTTTTAACAGTTTCTTCAGTAGAGTAATTTGGAATCATCTTGATCTCTTCAGCTGTAACCTCGCTTCAGGGAGAAAATATGAAGTTCACACCTAGGAGGGGAAAAGAGAGGGAAAAATACTATTCATGACAGGGATTTCATTTTTAAATGTTTCAATTAGATGTCAAGTTTTTGTGTCTAACACAATGTGTCTTTGAATTTAAAAATAAGCCATCTTCAAGTGCTTTCTCCACCAATTTCTATATTAATATAGACTTTGCGGAATAAACCAGAGGTAAGAATGTTAGAAGTTGTCTTTTTAACACAAATGAAACATAGCAAACTTCTTTCAGTTAACAAAGTTCCAATTTAAAGTGAGACTGGCTAGTGATCATATGACATAAAAATAATAATAGACACTCCAAAAAGCAGATAACCTAAAGACTCTCCTGAATTTATAGTTATTTTCTTTCTATAAATAGGTGGTACCTGAATAACTTTGCTTATTAGATATCTCAGAAACTACACTTAAGCACTCTGAATACTAGTTCATTCTGTAAATTCGAAGTAAAATGCACTAAGAAATAAGTGAAATCAGTTTAGGTACTCATTTTGATCTCTGACATGAATCACTATACTTTTTTTTTTCTATACATTAAGCTCAATTTGAGACAATTTTTACATCACAGAGAAAGATGAAGACACTCGCACAATCTAGTGTTCTGTTGCACCATAAATACCTTAAATATTCAGAAGTTACCTAGCTCCCCATCTGGCTTGGATCTATGGTATTTAACTACTACTGAGAAAAAAAATCTGTGAAAATCCAGGTATGTGCCTATTTGTTGTACATTAATAACCAGAGAAACAGTTTAAGATGAGTGCAAGGGGGAATGACAATTCATATTGCCTTTTCAGTTACCGACAAAATGTATGTATCAAAGAGCTGAAGTTGTAGTCTTAGTGTACGAAATATATTTCTGGACCATATTAATTGCATGGAAATGGATGAAATCTTCTTTACGGGGCACCTGTTTGGTTTGCCAGTGCTTGTGTGTTCTGCAGGAATGATTTCCTTACTAATGACTTATGACTTTAGGAAGCAGGTCATATGATGTAAGTGACTATGATACCAAATGTTTTCTAGAGTCTACAAATATACAGTCTTCCCTCAAAAACAGTGGATATTAAAAAAAAATATATATATATAAAAAAATTGCAGAGTAGTGTTTACTGGTGCCTTGCAGGATCCTGACAGCTGTCAGCTAAACCCAATTTGTGCTGCCTCAAACACAAGTGAAATATTAAGTAAAATATATTTGCTATAAAAAAACTCACAACAAACAAAATCCTTATAAATGTAAGTCACTTTTACATGGACAAATATACACACCCTAAAACCCTGGGCAGTCCAGATGCATTCAGAAAGAAAAGATGGCTGTCATTATAGAAATACAGGCTAGGCTGTTAGGGAGGTGGTTGCTCATTATTTGCGTTGTTCAGCACTGATGTTCCTGTTAAATACAGAATACTACTCTGTTAAAGTGTTTGATGTGTTTTTGTTGGGAGACAAACCTTATTCCAAATGGATTGTCTTTTCAATAGGGAAGTGAGGCACAGACGTGTCTTGGCAAAGCCCACACAAGTCTGAATCTGAGTCAGGAACTGAACCCAGAACGCAGGTTGCAGGAAGCATCTGTGGGCACGGTCACCCTTTGGCTCTCAATTTATTGGCTTTTAAAAGACTCAATATTACTCAATCTTAGCTCATGTTTTATTATGTTTGCATTAATAAGCTGACTCATTTCCATAAAGCTAGCAGGGTAATATCAAGATTTAGGTTCTCAATAATTCTATCAAGTTTGGAATATCATGTTAAATGCAACTAACAACTCCTTTGTCTGTGTGACACCTCCCAGTCTCTTCAACTCATTGTCTGGATTAGTCTTGTTGCCTCCATTGGTACAGATGCCTCAAAATGACATCAGCTACTTTTGCCATGTTTAAGAAATTTAAAAAATCAAGCTAATAACAGCTGACACAGAAACGCATGCCATCCTGGTCATGTGTGGCACTGTAATGCATCCTGAGCAAAACTTCCTGGCTTTCAAACTGTACCAAATCCAGAATACTTAGTGTTTGGCTCTGTGGAAGGTCATGCTCTCCGTAGGACAGAGAGAACCACAATAAAAAGATTTCAAGATAATTCTCTTGTTTCATCCCTTGGTTGTGAAAGTGCCCAAGGAGATTTGACAATAACTGATAGGTTCTGCAACATCAAGGTCTGGCAATATTTGCCTTGTCCCAGCTACATGTTGGTGCTGCGTGATCTATTTGTTATCACAGCTTTTGCCGATTTAAATACCCACTGAGATTACAACCCAGAATTTAGCAGTAAGAGACCCTCTACTAAGAAAATCAGCACTGCAAGTTAGACTTGCAGTAAAGCAAATCAGGGCCCAGTTAAGTCTGAGGAAGACCTTTCTCCGTGACCAGATTAACCAATTCATGGTATTATTTGGCAAGTGTATCCTGCTCTGTGTGTACTAACAGGCAGATTCAGTGGTGAAGACAAATGTAACTGATGGGAAATATTCCCCCTCTGATGGGATTGTTTCTGTGCAGCAGCAGATGCCAAGGCAGCTTTCTCATGGTCGCTTCATCAACCCCTTCAGTGTAGAGTGTTTTGCTTTTCCCTTTTCTATCTACATGGTGGCCTGTACTTTTTCATGTACATATTTCAAAGCTTCAGTAGAAACTTTAGGTGATGTAATTAATAGCATATGTACTTTAAGGAAAGTGTAATAATTACTATACTACATTTTCAGAAATGTATTAAAAAAAAAAAAAAATTGAATTGGGAAACTTATGTCTGGTGCTCTAAGGTATTGAATTCCCTGAGCTTATTTTGGAGTGCTTGGGAAGTGAAAAAGGCAGAACAATTCCCATGAAAAATCAGGAATTTGGTCAAGAAATAGCATGATGCTTCAATTTATCTGTTTAAGACTGTAACCTTTCTAGAATTAAAGGTTTTGGTGTAATGCTGAAGTCAGTGGAATTATGCAAAGAATGTGTTTGGTATGTTACCAGTTTTAAATTATACTAAGGAATTAACATAAAAAAATAAATCCATTATTTTCAGTAAATGAAAAAGGAAGTAGAAATACATAATTTGGTTGCTTTGGGGTAAATAGATATGGGTTGCTATATGTGCATCTGAAAACAGTTTGAATGTTGCAGTGAGAATGAACCTCATATGAGTCTTATATTTGAAGCACAGTGAGGAAGGCACCGCTAGTCTCAAACTGAATTTTTAAATTTCCCGGAAATCCTAAAGTTTCAGAGCTAACTTCAGGAAGATCTGCTGCCTTGAGCATATCTGTAACTTTAGAGCACAAGGAAAAACTTGTGCATGGGCCCAGAGCAGGCTGAGTGGTGAGACAGGGCAGCTGCCACAGTGTGAACTCCTCACAGGCAATGATTTCTTTTCTGTACCACTGTCATTTTTGTGATTATTCTCACTTGCCACAGTTCACCTGCTTGTCCCAGGATCATGGTTATACACATTTTATGCAAAGCAGATACCTCTAAATGGGAAGTACTGCAGATTGTTTAAAAATGTTACAGAAATAGATGACTGGTACAGCTTTATGCTGTCAGAATTCAGCAGAGCAGGTTAAACCACTGGCCAGTAAATGGCAAGTATTGAAATTGTGCACATTGATAATTCCATTTAAAGCATCTCAAATGACCTGAGTTAACATGATGATAATTGGATCATTTTAAGGCTGATACACAAGGAGCTTTTTCTAAGAGGATTGAATTGATGCGACTATGGATGGTGTGGCAACATCAATCTCAAATTATCTGGTGAGCAGCAAACCCCTGTTGTATGTTACTGTCCTGTTCGACCTTTTATCTTTTTTTAATTACAATGATTGTAATAAGTCACTGATAATGAAATGCTTCTTCAGACTGCTCTACCAACTATTATTTAACACTCTATTCATTGCTTCTGTTGGGTGAACATGCATCCTAATTAAACTGCCTGTGGAAACAAGAAGGAATGCTGAGCCTGGGCAAGGTAAACAGCACTTTGCCTACCAAAAGATAAGATAGCACTGACTGTGGCTTTCTGTGAGAACTTCATCAGCTATAAATAGGTAAGCAGATGTCACAAGTCAGATTTTAAACAAAAATGTGGTTTTGATATTTGCTTTGACAAAGACTAAATAAACTCAGACTGACCAACCCTGCCACAGTTTAGCCACCTCACCATTAGGTAATATGAGTCGTTTTTTTTTTCCTTCTGACAGTAGGTGGATTATTTGCTTTTCTTACAAATGAGAAGATATTTCCATATTTAAAAGGATGATACATTCTATTTTTATAGAAAATTATTCCACGGGAAGAAGAGAGGCTGAAAAATGTTTGGATCGATACGTTCTATATATTTACTGTATCTAGTTCTTTCTGGTGGCATAAGCTTTTTCCCTTTATCTTGAGAGTTTTTTCCCTGTCCTTTCCTAATTTCTTCTATATTCTTTTTCTAATTGCTGAGAAACTAATGACAGTTTCCAAATGCTTTATTTCACTGTTTTGTTTTGGTTTTTTTTTTTTCCCTGTCCAGCAGAACAACCCCCATTATTGTTGTTGCCTTAATGAATTTAGTTTCTTCTACTTCATGAGACTACTTCAGCCTCTTCCCTGCTTTCCTGGTGTTCCTGACTGTGAAGCCATAAATTTACTTTTCTCCTTCTTTCTGCCATTCCTCCTGACAAGTCTGTATTCCCCACTCACAGCTTTCCTAAGTATTTTTAGTCCAGAGTTGATAGGTGAACTGAGAAGGGGGAGAAAAATGCTAACACTTGGGCAAATAAAGGCTCATAATTCAAAGTACTGTGGCCTTGCAGTGTGCATAGGCCCCCTGTCATCACTGCCACTGTCTTCCACAGAGGTCATTGTCTGACTTCATGGCAAATGACAATAAATTAAAATATTACTGAAATAGAACTGCAATAGGCAGTACAGAACCAGCACACTGTCTGTACATCAGTTCATGATCATCAAGAACAGAAAGCAACCTTCAAAAGATCCATATTAGTGCCTCTG